GGTACCCCATTACTCCTCGGTTCTGTACTAAAGACGGCCGGTACATTCTATATACTGGCAGGGTTCCTCTTTGCCTCATTTTTATTTGTGTTGCTAACGCTTCCTGAAACAAAAGGAGAGAGTCTAGAGAGAATTGATGAATTGTTTCTAAGGCCATGGCTACAGAGGATTAACCTATTCTACTATCTGAGGTACATGTACATGTATACACAGCCTGTTTGTTGAAATGTGATAACACTTATACTGTACTTCTTTACATTATTATGTTTAATAGAATCATTACAAGTACATGTACATGTAGCTGGATTGATAATGGGGCAATGTATTAAAAATGTGCATGTCTGCGTGAATGCATACTGAAATTTATAGGATCTACATGTAATATCTCAATAAAAAACAATTCTTAACCTTTATTCTCTAATAGGTGTTGTTGTCCATGGTCTAATGCTTGTAGGGTAAGGACTGCACAAGAAGAGGACACTGTAGCCATTGTTGGTATAAAGAATGAGAACAAAGATGATACGAGTGATGAGGCTGAAGATGAGTGAGTATTTAATCATATACCCTCTCTTTCTCTTCCTCCTCCCTGACTTTCTCTCTTCTCTCTGTCTGTCCCCTCTCCTCTCTCTTTCTCAATCCCATTCTTGATCGCATTACTCTATAATCATATGCATGTACTGTACTTTCTCTCTTCTCTCTACAGTGAGAATGAGTCACTGATAAAAGATACAGATGTCCTTGAGTCTAGTCTTTCAGCTAAATTTGACAAATAACAGATGAAGCAACCTTTGTATCATTTTGTGTACTGCATAACAACATTCAGTGTTAAATTTTTATGATATAGACAGATTTTATTATTTTGCTATTATTCTTAAAAATTAATACGTATCACATTATAATAATGGAACTATGACATGGGTAGACTTATAGATCTAATAGCAACAATAATTATGTACTCTTGCCTCTTGCTTGGTAACATAAAGCAGAGATAAAACCGGGTTTACTTAACAATATTAGTTACATGCATAATTCTATGTGTGCTCTTGGAGCTAAGCCATAATTGATCATGACATTAGAGATGGCTAGCAACTGGTGCTTCAGAAGAGATTATACATTTTTGACCAGTAAACAGATGATGAACAAAATAATTATACAATAAAATATGGAAATATAAACAATAGTCCAATACAGAGAAAACTTATATATACAATATAGAGAATAAAATTCATAAAAACAAGTGTAAGTATAGTGGTAAGTGGAATTGAGTCACATAACACAGTTCAGTTTTGGGTCGAGCCGTTTTGGGTAGATCTACTTTGCAAAGCTCGCTACAACCTAAGAATACAATAGCCAGTCAGTAAGTGCTGTACAAATAATTTCACTCACCATTTCTTCTTTTCTGTAAAAGTAACTTTTTTCCACTTCTTGCACAGGTTCCACCAAGAAACAATCATCTTCATTATTCTTAGACCAGATTTTATCACCAGCAATGATGGCTGCAGGACCTGCTCCTACAGCTGTCTCTTGAACCGGTCGGCGAGGAAGAGCTGCTGCTATCAAGTTGATAGCTCCTGCTTCTCTAAGCCACATTATAAATAGCAGTAAAAGTATCATCTTTATCTAGACTTTATGCTTTACAATGATGAACTTTTATAATGTCAATTGCTATGAATATCATTAACAAAGAAAAATCATTTTTATTTTTTTGTTAATGATATTCACAGATAAGGATGACCAAAAAAATGCAAGCTATAGCAACATTCACTCTATGAATATCATTAGTATGGCAAGCCATTTGTATCATAATTACATGGGACATTACTAGGAGATAGCACAGCTCATCATCGTATCATATCACTGAAATCATGATGATGAAACCATGTGCTTTAATTATTCATTGTGATAGGGCGTGTCCTTGGGTTTATTGTAATCACGTGACCTATTAAAACTCAAAATGTCTGGCAATTGGAAGTGCTTTTTTTTCCCCAAGAATTGTCCTCTTTCCTAGTTGATTCACAGCCCAGAGAGTAAAAACAGTAAAGAGCATACTATGTACAGCTTGTGCACGTCTGCACGAGCCACTGAAGTCATGTGATAGTCACGTGACACGCGGTAGATGATAAACAATAATTATTTTTACAGATTATTTAGAAAATGAACAGTTTGTTCATATAAATTGATGCCATAGTCATTTGATAAATCCAAAGGATTTATTGCTTGAGTTAATGTCATATAATCTCTTTGTGATATCAAATAAGATGATTCGGGTACATCTAATGTACTGCTGTCTCCCGAGGGAATGGGGCCTTCATCATCCACTCCATATGAATCATCAACATCTG